CAGTCTCAACTACATAGTGAAACCCTGTCTCAAAAAAACAAAAAGTAAATAAATAAATAAATAAATAAATAAATAAATAAATAAATAAATATTAAAATCAAGCAAAATTAGCAAAAACTATACACACTGACGCTGGGGATAGGCTTATAGAAATCCATTATATTTTTCTCTCACTTATGGTATGATTGAAATTATCCATAGTAAACACAATTAAATATAGTAAAATTAAATTTTAAAAGTATTAGTCTAGAAGTTTCTTAGACTATCTCTCTATGTCTTTACCAAAGGCAACAGAGTATATGTAGAAATAATTATACTCTCTATGTTGTAAGGGTTAAAATTAGAAACACTACTTACATTGTGGCATACATCAATCAAAAGATATTTTCTTCTACTTCTATGTGGTATGATCAGAAAATATGGTGAATGTTTAATTGTTTTTAATTTATTGCAAAAAGGATACATCACATTCATCCCCTTCAAAATACTTCCCTTTACTTCAAACAAACGTATCCTATCTGAAGCAGTTCTGGAAGACTTCTTTCATACATTTACTTTTCAAGGTCATTTTGACTTTGGGGAAGAGCTAGAAGCTACCATCTACGTCAAATCTAGTGAATGAAGCGGATGGAGACACACCATAATGGTTTTATTTTATAAAACTTGCATTTTGAATTGATTTAGGACATCAAGGCAGGCATGACAAGTCACTCATGAAAGAGGACTTCCGGAACTGCTTCAGAAAGTGGCAGGAATGATGGCATAAGTGTGTTCAGAAAAAGGGGAAGCATTATTAGGAATATTAATGGTCATGCATCTCTTACTGTAATAAATCATTTTAATTTAAACATTCACCATAATATTTATTGCACTTCATATAACTTTTATTCACATCCTAATATTTCGTTCTTTGACAACAGAATCATATCATCAAAACTTGTGCCTCCTACCTGGCACCTTTAGGCCGGGTTCAAAAATTGTTAAATGTGACTAAATCTGATGTAAGGAAACTGTCTGAAAGTCCAGCTATCAGTACCACCAACAACACATCAAACCCGACACACGTACATATTCAACTACCCCTTCTTACTTTATACCTACCTTAACAACAAAAGTTAAAATGCAATTGGAGGGACGCAGTTCAGCGGTAGAGCATGTGTATGGCACACATGAGACCCTGGATTCAATCCCAGCAACATTAAGAAGAAAGGCAACTCGGGAAAACATGAAATTCAAAAACACCCAAAATCTTATAGGCCAAAAAATGTAAAGGAAAAACTAATCATTACTTAGTGATAGTTCTGGAAATTCTTTTGAAAACATTTCTGGTGTACATTAGAATTAGTTCACCTATAAATCATCAGTCACTAAAGAGATTAAAACACAGAAAGAAACCTAAACTAAGCAAGTGTTGCTGCCAAATAATGATCAATGGAAACTAAAGATAAAGCAGAATTCAGATAATACAAAATTACAAATGCAGAAAGATAAAGCAGAATACAGATAATGTACGTTAACTATAAAATATAGTCCAGCTTGCAAAATACACTTCATGAGATCATGAGCTCCTCTGAATTAAGCAGTAAAGTTCTTTAAAGCATAAATCAAATTAAAAAGAAAAAAATGTATTTATTCGGAGCAGCTGGTCACACTGCTAATCTGCATCTGCATAGCCAAGCCAAAGAATGCTTGTTTCTAGGAGAAATCCAGTACTGAAGATACCAGGAAATACAGATATGAAATGTAAGCACTGTGTCAGAAACTAGTATTCCACCAGCAGCACTATGGAGATGAATATGAAATTGAAAATCAAAATGGTTGTGGGAATATGCAGTTTTCAAATGTCACTCAGCCAAGGTGCTACCATGTGCTACACCAGCCTAAACCACCAATCTAAATACTGTCCACTTCCTTTCACAGGACACATGTGAAGGGAATTTAGAGTTTCGAGAAGTCTCTTTCTTCTATCCATGCCGCCCAGATGTTTTTATCCTTCATGGCTTATCCCTCAGTATTGAGAAAGGGAAGACAGTCGCATTTGTCGGGAGCAGCGGCTGTGGAAAAAGCACTTCTATTCAACTTCTACAGAGATTTTATGATCCTGTGAAAGGACAAGTAGTAAGACTGAATTTAATAACACCCAATCTGGGGATTAATGCTACTGCTCTTAATATTCACTTGGGTATAAGCATCTTCATGGGTTTGGGTAGGCCAAGCATTGCAGAAGTTTTAAAAAAAGAAAAAAAAAAGAAATATCTATCCACACCCTTAATTAAAAATCAAACAAACTAATAACAAAAGGACAATTTCCTCACTGGCCATCTCTACTTCCAACTGTCAATACTTTATGCATAATTAAGTTTTATTTCAATCAACACCATTACTTTGTGGGTCCTGATCTTAAAAATATGTAACCTCTTCTTCCTTTGAACTAAAGGATTGTTTTTCTTACCTCGACTTATGCTACTATACTGTATATAGCATATGCTAGATTTCCTTTATCTTCTCATTCCTGTCTCTCTGGTTCCCCTCCCCTCTCTCTCTTTCTCTCTCAGCTTCCTATCTTGCCCCTTCCCTCCTCCAAAAAACTGTAGGTCCCTAAAGGTCAAAAATTGTCACATTAAGCTGGGGATGCAGCACAGGGATACAGCAATTCCCTGGCACCCGAAAGCCCTGGGTTCAATCCCCAATACCGAAAAATAAAGATACATTAATCCACACTCGCCTATAATTTACAGACTTTTCTCCATCATAGATTCTCAATGAATATTTTCTGACCAGAGTTGTCCAAAATTGCTTTCTTGGACTAAGTAATATTCATCTATTTGCACATAGTATAGCACATTCCTTCCTTGAAACACTCCAATGGTTTCCTACTGCAGTTAAAAATAAACCAGAGTCCATACCATCAGCCACAGTCCCTTATGATCTGGGCTCTGCCTCCCTCTCCAAATTCTTCTATCTCTCCTCACCTCATTGGTCACTGTGTAGCCACTGCCCTGGCTTTTGTGTATTCTTTATACACACCTATGAGCCCTTGTTCTTGCTTTTCCCCTTCCTAGAATGGTATTACTCCAACTTCTTTGCTAGATGTTTCTTATCATTCATGTCTCAGTCTGAACACTCCTTCCTCAGGTCTTCTTAGACAACCCTATAGAAAGAAATGCACCCTCTTCACTTCCCTTTTCCACATCCTCTCCAATGCCTGAGTCACTCTGTCTTATCCTGTCTTCATAGAACTTTCTTTTTCTGAGCTTGTCTCTTGGTGTGTTTATTGCCTGCCTTTCTCTGCTAGAATGTAATAGTGCAATAATAGCTTTGTCATATAATATTTCCCTGGTGCCTCAAGAGTTCCCATCATAGGGCCAGGGATTTGGCACAGTGGTTCTGCCACCTGCCTTGCAAGTGCAAGGGCCAGAGTTCAATCCCCGGTACCACCGAAAAAAAAAAAAAAAAAAAAAAAAAAG